GTCCTGGGTCTGTCCCCTCCCAGCTCTTACTGCACCCCCAGCCTGCCCGTTGGCAGGACAGAGCAAAAGGCTGAGATGTCCTTGGCTTAGTATAAGCACTGCTCTGCAACAATTAAAGCATCGGGGTGTTATCAGCACTCTTCTCATCCTAAGCCAAAACACAGCATTCCACCAGCTACTAGGAAGAAAATTAATTCTGTTCTAACTGAAACCAGGACAAAGACAAAGAAAGAAAGAAAGAAACAAAAAAAAAACACATTATGAACGTGGGGTTAGGTGATACCTCACCTTTATCAATAACACCAATTTTTGCTGCTCCATCTCCTCTTTTAGGCAGCACCACAGAGCCTTTGAAGGGCTCTTGGGCTTCCCACCTCACCTTTTAGGACATGGGCAAGTCTTTTGGGGCTGATCAAGAGCTGTTAGCCACACCTGACAGGGTGACAGCCGCTGTCTTCAAGGTGAAAGATAAACGAGTTAGTCGGATGATTGCTTGCTTTTTAACACCCAAGCCAGAATCAATCATTATAGCGACAAAGCTTAGTGTGCTGAATTCCCTTGGCATTACTAACTCACTTTTTCTTTCCGCATCCCTAAAAAAACCCGCAGGCAGATATAGCTAATGCTGTGTCGCGTCCCACGCACTCGTGTTGCTCCTGCAGTCTGTTGCTTTTTCAGAGTCACACACACACATTTGCATTTGCAAGCGCCACTACTGCTCTGCAGTAAACACTGCTCTTGCCTCTCTCCTAAGAGGATCCAGATGTCTTTTTCCCAGGATGATGCATTTATTTTTAGTTGTCCCTTGCTGAGTACACCGGGCGTTCCTTCCTTCTGCGCGCAGGTCGTGGTCGTCATCACAGACACTGCGTTCGGGGGTGAGGACGGTGATGGGGAGAGAAGGATGTTTGTCTTCCAGAAAACAAATTTTCTTTTTATTCTCCAGATTCCGTGAGGTCCCCACAGGCACGTCTATGTTCTGAACGTTTTTTCCATATGGCACACTCTGCCTCTGTCAGCTCTTTGGTTGGACGTGGTGTGAATAAGAGGAAGATTTTATTTGTTTGGTGGTTGAAGTGAAAAAACGAGAGAGAAAACTTTCAGCTCGTATTTTTTTAGCAAATGGAGGAACAACCTGGGTGAAGGAAGGGCTCAAACTTCTCTTGTTGGGAGAGGAGTGATGAGTGAACCCCAATCAGACCTACGAGAGACGTGATGAGAATGTCATCCTGTGAAGTTTTACAGCAACCTCAGTGAGGTCTGGAAAATGACGCACAGATCAAGAAACACTTTTACTCTTCCTTCCCCTTCAGCCAGCCTTGATGTCATTATTAACACCTCATCTGTACTAACGTGGCCCTCAGAGCTGTTTGCAGAGTCACGGCAGCGTTGCAGCTGTGCTGGCCTGAGGACACACAAGGCAGGGCTGGTGAGGAGAGATAACAACTTCTAATGGACCAGCAAAATCACATTTGGTAGGGAAAGCAGACAGGCTCCCGGGCACAAGCACCTCCTCGTGTCTCCTGTTTGCCAGGGGCCTGTCTCCAGCATCATGGGCATTCAGAACGAGGATGTGAAGCTTCAGGGCACAAAGTTCCTGCCGACAGGGATAAAGGACCAGCTCCTCAAGCTCAGCAAAGTGAAGGATGCTCTTGCATTCCTGGGGAGAAACCTTTTTTCATGGGGTTTCTCAAATCAGGAGCCTGCTTGAGTTCAAATGGCTGATGGGGGCAGGCTCACGAGAAGCTTCTTTTCTCTGTTTTGCTATAGTAAGGGATAGGAGGAGGTTTTTTGGCAATCACTGGGCTTTTCTTAGTCCTGCTAGGAGAGGTGTGTGCATCTTAGCCCCATTGGTACATGTCTTCATGGGGGTCTGGAGTTATCAAAAAACAGTAGAAGATGTAGCAAAATAGTACAAGAGACAGCGTTATATATATATAAAAAAAAAGCCAGTTGAATGGTGGCATTGTGCATAGTGTGATGTGTGCTTGAATGCAGTTATAAATACTTTTTATGAGTGTACGAGCATTATGCCTGCTGAATGAGAGACGTGAGTAAGGAGGAGATCAGGCCAAGAGATGACTGCACAGCGCAGGCACTCGGGGACATTGGTTTCACACGAGGCAACTGCAGAAAGCGAGAGAGGAAAAAAAAAAGTCACGTCTCACCCCTCCTGTGCTGCTTCTCTTGGCCATGGTCTGCGTGTGTCTCAGTGCTGGGGCTGGCCGTGCCACCAGCGCTTCTCTTGCCTCCCTCAGACCCTCCATCTCCTCTTCCCGTGACTTTCACAGGAAGGAAATCATCTGTGGTCTGCTGGAGCTTGGTATTTTGGTGTGGGTTTTTGGATGTGGGTGAAGAGGGGAAGCGAGAGGGTGATTTGATTTTTCATCTTCCACCTCTTTGTCTGCTTTGTAGCCTTGACCTGCAGGACAGGACCGAGAGGACTGAGACGCTTGGCACTGGGGCTGGATCAGGGAAAGTTAGCCCGCCCTTTAGCACAGCAAGTTTTTGCTTGGAAAATATTTGATGTCACTACCTAAGGCCAGCTCTTTCCCTCCTGTACAGACAGTGACTTGGCTGGCCTCGTGCGTGTTGGAGATTGGGCTAAATGGGGGCTGGACTCAGCACGTGCTGCTGTGTCAGCCCTCAGCTGCTATGCCTGGCTGCTGTAAGCTCACAGCTTACCCAAACACCTGCCTGGTCCTTCACTGGTAGGCTTCAGATGGGGATGCTGTTGAGATAGCATGGCTCTGGGGGAAGGTTTTCCATAGGACAAGTGCCAAAGCTGCCAAAAATGGGGAGCTGATGTTTTCAGTGCATCACCTGCGGATGGAGCTGCATGCAGATTTACTGGTCCCCTTCGCTCAGTCCTGTAACGTGGAAACCTTCAAGAGCACCTTAGGTCCTTTATTTTCCTTAAGCGGTGTTAAGAAGCACCACATTTGGTTATACAAGAATTTGTCTCAGCCTGAGCTTTTTAGTAGTTAATGAGTCAGGGATTGGGGGCAAAAGATGTCTCAACTATTGAGTGTTTGCTTAGTGGCACGCAGATTGCTTTATTGTCTTGTAGCTGCTGTTTCTAAAAGCCTCAAGAAAAAAAAATCTTCAAAGACTGAGAAAAATCCATGAGAGCGTTTTCAGCTCCTGTGTTCAGAGACCGAGGGCAGGGAGGGTGTGAGAGGCTAACGGGGGCGAGCGGGGGGCACACCAGTGCTGGGCCAGTAGGATCTGCAGAGCCTCTTCCACCCAGCCAAAGGGATCCGAGCACTTCTCTTGCTTGAAACACTTTTCTCTCCCTGCACGTCTCAGGCCAAGCACTTCTGTACCCCTCAGTGTGGCTCCAGAGAAGAGGAACACGAGCTCTGCTTCATACGAGCTCTGCTTCGTGCAGCACCTGAGACCAAAACCATCCGAAGCTGTTGGCACCAGCCCCTGAGCCGTGCAACAACCTGCTCCAGGGGCCAGCCAGAGCCTGTTAAAGCTGCTCTGTCCTAACGAGCATTGTAAAACCTTCGGGAGCTGCAGGTGAACTGCGTGGGACAGGGGCTCATTCGCTTACCAGCCTCTCCCACCAAACCCCTCGTCACAGGAGAGGAAGAATTTCTGGGATTCCTCAGCTGAAAACAGGTACCCACGTTGTAGGTACCTACAGACACAGCTTCCAAGGGACAGCTGCATTTTTCAGCCTAACATACGCTCTGCTGAGGTTCTCCATATCCTTTGGGAGGTACCTTCACTTCTTCCTCCATCCCGCTCCCTTTTCTGTGCTAAAAAGGGAGATAAAGCATCTTTATCCCTACCGCAGCTAACCATTAAAGGAGCACTCCAACTTTTGAGGCTTTCCTTCTTATTTTTGCCTTCAGACACCGGCTCACAGCAGTGTGACGAGTGGGTGCTAATTACGGAGAAATACATTTCGACAACAGAGCCTTACTGCTGGTGAATACAGAAAAATTGCTCATTAGAGCAGCATGCTATTTAGTCAGATTGCCTTCCCTAGATATTATCATCCTGGCGTTAATGCAGACTGGCAGCGTAACACTTGAATTAAACAATCTCAAGATAACACATGCAGGGCTTCACAACTGTTGGCCAGCCTTTGGGGGGCTCCCACATGCTGCTTCCACAAAACACCCCATCCTGGGGTTCAGTAACTTGCTTATACAATTAATTGGGGTTTTGTTTTTTATATATATATTTAATTAAATACACCTCATAGGGCACAGTGCATCGCACATATGATCTATTTGGGTTTAAACATGCCGTGCCTGATTCTTTTCCCAGACATCCACCTTTTACCTGCATGGTTTGGGATGACTGTGCTGGTTGCATGATGCAGGCAGTGTTCCTGTCTGCTCGGTGGCTCCCTGCACACATCAACGTACATGAGATGGTGAAATCACACTGGAAAACACCTCGTAGCCATTGCACAGAATAACATGATAAAGGAAGCGCAGCAGAAGCTGTTGCAGAAATGCAAAGGCTGCCTGCAGCTCCAGGTGCCTTGTGGTGGTGCAGGGAGGCTCTGGGGTGGTAGAAGACCGCAGCACCGAGGCTTTCACATGCAGCCTGGCAAACAGCAAATGCAGAAGCTGCAGTTTGGGTCCATGGAGCTGCAAGCAAGAGGTGCCTTTGCTGGGACACAGCTACATGGGGCTCCACCAGCAGCAATAACATCTGAAGCTCCATGTCTCTGCTTTGTAGAGCTGCCTGCATGCAAGGGGAGCTAAAATCTCACTGGGTGCAAGGGCCAGTGCCTGCACAGACAGCATTGCTGCAGCTGTAGCCACAGGAGGTTCCTCAACCCATGTCCTGTCTACTTCTGCCAGACACAGCCACTCCATCAGGCTAACCTAAGTGATAAAAACATGCACAGAAATAGCATAACTGCTCAGGACAACAGCACTCATCTATCTACACCAGGATTTCCTCTTCTGCAGCCCTCTGGGCCCAGCCTTTGACTTGAACGCCAGCTTTTGCTAATTAGCTCAGTTTTATCTAATTAGCACCCGAATGGGAGTGCCTCCCCCAGCTGCCTCTGGGCTCGTGAAGAGCCCAGAGCTAGGGATATAGGTGAAGGAGCCAGGAAGAGCTTTTCCTTGGGGGGTTTGTATGGTGTGTCCTCACCTCTGTGTGCTCTGAATATACCCTTAGGCTGGGTTAGGCTGAACTGGACAGTATCTGCACCAGATTTTCTTTGCAACTGACTTATTTGTAATACATTTCCTTCCTTTAAGCTTGCTATGAATGTGTTTTTTAATATTGGCCATGGTATTTTGCTCTTAGTTTGCCTTGGGAAATGGAGTGTGTCCTACATCTGTGTCTATTTTAAGGCTGGGCTTTGTCGCCGGCTGGGGATGTGGCCGGGAGGAGCGCTGATAACGCGGGCACTGCTCTGCTGTGCTGGGTGCTCCTGGGGAGCCCCAGCCATGGCCTGGCTCAGATCCTGCGTGTGCTGCTGTGCTCGTAACCCCAAATACTGTGCTGTAGGGTAGTGCTCAGCCTGCCTGGCTTCAGTAGTTCAAAAGCTGCTACTGTGGTTTAATTCGATTAAATGAGGTCTGTTTGCAGGTAGTAACAATAAGGCACACCCAGAAAGCAAACTTGTTGTGTTCTTAGCATCTCTCTTAAGTTGTCAGTGTTATTTTTTTCTCTTTGTGTTAGTTCTGTTCATTAATTTGTGCTTTGGGGGACCAATAGATGTTTATGCTCCATTAACTATAAGGAAAAGTCTGTTCACTCAGAGCAGCGAAAGGGAATTGGGATTTGTCCCTCCAGGTGGTTTGGGTGCTCTTCATAACGCTGCAGAGGGGAGCAGAGCCCTGCAAGGCAGTGCTGTCCGTGTGCTGCTGGCTGCTCGTGTACATGGGTAGCACACCTGATGCTTCGAGTCCAAGTCCATCTGCACAATTCCCTTCTTCCTGCTGTTACCTGAAGGAAACTCCTGCCTAGTAGTGGCCAGGTAGGTGATGGATACCTGCAGTGTGGTCACCTTAACCTTTACCAGATAAGGAAGGCTGGGGGGCTCTTACAGCCTAGAAGGTTTTAGGGTTTTATACCCTCAGCCACCCCGGGTGCCCTCCTGCCACCCTTCTGAGTGTGCAGCCTCGGGTGATGCGCCCCTGGAGCTCTGCTGCATGGCACGGTGCTTGTGTTGGCAGATGCTCTGCAAAGAGAGGTTCGAACCCCAAAATCTCTGCGGCTACAGATGGGTTAAGAGGAATGGCAGGGCAAATGCTGCGCGGTGACTTGGTTCTTGTTTTATTTAGTGCTGTGCTCTGGGTGATGAGAGAGCAGAGGAATAAATGTGACTTTGTGCCTGAGGGATGGGCAGCCGCTTGCTAAAGCAGGCCTAAGTGTAAGGGGGCTCTTGCTTTGGAGTGGCTTTTCTCTGAAACACTTCTCGTGGTTAAACAGTCTCAGCATCACAAGAGCTGGCTGGGGAGATTGCTTCATGCCAGGGCTGAAGGCAAAACCCAGGACCTGGTGCTCCGATGGTTCCTCTGCCTGCACCGATGCACAAACCTCTCCTCCTGGGCAGGTTGGTGCCACTGCACTGGACATGGCAGGGAAGGGTCGTACTGGTTGTACTGGGCTCATCCTAGAGGGTGGCGTGGTGCTGTGAGCTGTGTCTTGCTGTATTCGATGACTTTTCTCTTCTCCTCTGGGGAGGTCCTGCACCGAGCGCTTGCATGCCTGGAGAGGGGGAGAACTTCCTCAGCGAGACGGCTTCCCATCCACTTTCATGTAATATTTAAGGCTCAGCCGAAGAGTTATCGTTTATGCAGTAGTGCCGGGGAGTGAATTTCGTATTGATTTAAAAATTAGCCATTTTTAGCTTACTATTTTATTCATCAGAATATAAAAAAAAAGTCTCAGCTTCGGCAGGAATGTGCTGTGTGCTACTTGTCTGCAGAACCGTGCTCCTTAATTTGTTCTTGGCATGGGGCTGGTAAAAGCACTTAATGCATCGTCCTGTTTACTCTACTTGCCTCACCCCCCTGGCTTTAAGGACGTTGTAATAAGTGTGATGGGGAGCAGGGCTGTGCTCCCAGCCTCGTGCTCCTCACCCCCTTCTTCCTCTGGGTCTGCTTGTGTCTCTGGACCTGGAGATCCAGCACTGTGGGGCTTCTGGAGGTGCTGGGCTCACCTGGTTTTGGTACAAGGCCACCTGGGAAACCCAAATGTTGGTAGTGCAGCTGGTTTGGGCTGAGGAATCTGTCCGTGCCCAGGTGTTGGTGCCTTGCTGAGGGCTCAGGAGGTCTGTGCACAACCTGAAACTCATGGGGGTGAGCACACACCTGTGAGCAGTGGGTTGGAGATGGAGGGTGCGGAGCCAGAGGGAGTTAGTGCTTCAGGCAGGCCTCTGGGGCCATGGGCCTGAATTTCAGTCCCTATTCATACGCTGGTTTATTTATAAGCTATTAAAGATGTATAAAGTGATTTTTGGAGCAGGCGGCAGAGCCCGTGTCCCTGCTTCCAAGTGTGCTGGCTGGTGCCAGATTCTGCTTGCTTTCCCGTGTGCCTTTCTGATGCGTTTTCCCATGCTGGGCGCTCTCCTTGTTCCCCTGACACCAGAACAGAGCCTGTGTAGGGTATGGCTCACCTGAAGTGATGAGCACCAAGGCTTTGGCTTTGTTTTTCCCCCCACTTCATCAGCAAAGAAATGCTTCCTGGCAAATCTGCTCCTGTTCTATGTGGGGTATTTTATGGGGCACATTCCAGCAGCACTGCTGGCGGCTGTGGTCACACTGGCTGGAGATGGCTCAGCCTTGCTGGTAAGTGGCAGGTGTGATTTCAAGGGTATTGTTGGCTTAATTTTTTCTCGCAAAAGAGCGGTCACTTCAGCTGTACGTGTGTATTCCTAAAATTATTTTGCTGCTCACTGCCTGTGTAGTTATTAGGGTTTCTTCTCTGTTGGTTTGCAAATGTAATCAAAAGGATGATATAACCAGGGGACCTGCTGCATCTGAAGGGTGTTACCCGCTCTTCTATCAGGAACAGGTTTTATACAGGTGTGTGATATTGTGCCTTTAAAAAAAAGGCAGAAAACTTAATGGGCATCATATTGCTTAGGAGCTATTTGCTGAAGCTGGTTGTTGCTTAAATACTGAGGTGTGAAATCTGCTGGGGCTGAGGTGTTTTTAACTCTTGCATCCTTGAAGTCAGCTCAGGACAAGGGGCATCGTGACAGATGGCTCCGCTCTAATGGCTTGAGGAGTGCTCTGTGCAAGGTATTGATGAACTCCAAATCTTCAAATTGGACTCTGAAAGCCTCTCCAGCCCGCTGCAGGATGCTTGGCACTGCTTACAGCTCAATGTGCGACACCTGGAGCAGTGCTGCAGCTGTGCCACTGGGAGCAGCCGGCGATGGATCGCTTTATGCTCCTGAACACGTGAAGGTGCACGCGGCAGGCGAAGTGTGTGAGGCTCACTTTATTGTGGCTCGCTGTCGTGTGGCTTTATTGCTGCAAAGCCCTTGTAGTAGGAGTCACGGTAAGCCCTGGTGTTCTGCTCCAGGTCCCCTTGAAGCCCGTGTAATGGCTGCGTGGAATTTGAGCAGCCTTTGAGTTGGGTTTCCCGGTGCAGGAGGGCACTGATCAAAACCTCGTGCTCCAAAGCGATCTGAAACAGCTCTCACTGCTCTCCTGTTCTCCTGGCAGTTGTGAGCGCAGACACCACCAGCATTTAGGCTGGCTTAGATCTATTGATGCAAAGGACTGCCGAAGAGCCAGGTATTATTGTGCTGCTGTCATGTGTCAGGTTAGTGGGTTACAAAGCCTGTGCTGCTTTGAGAGCTGCCTGCTTTGGATGCAGGTATGAGCCCATTCACCTCCCCTTTTAAGTGATGGTGCCAGAGCTCTCCTTTTTGGGAAAAAAAAACTCTGCTTTAATCACTTGGGTACCAAACTCAATAACCTCCTATCCATTGCTGCTTTATCTCAATGCCATAGCTCTGCACTAAGATATTTTGAAATTAAAACTTGCCTTTTTCAGGACCCGGAGTGGATGCAGAGCTCTGTGGCTGTGAGGAGTCCTCCTTCCACAAGGGCTCCAGAGCTTGGGAAGAGAGGATTCAGACCCAGGGCACTACCTCAAACAGCTGCGACTTCCCCCAAACCTGGTTGCGGTTTTGTGTGGCTCAGCGTTAGAGGTGTCTGTGTGCATCGCTGCCCTTGTTGCCCTCGCTGAGCAGCAGGCTGTTAGCTCTTTTAACTGGCTTTCTCGCTGCAGTTACCCGTGGCTCGGTGACACCTGGAAATGCATTTGCCAGCTCGATTGTTCCGACAAACCCAATTACCGGCTGCTCAGGGAGCTCCCACCCCGCACTTAGCAGAGACGCAGCATTGATCCAGGGCGGATTTTCCTGAGGCTGGGTTCAACAAGCAGCATGCCCCTCGTGAGTCCCTCTCCTTGGTCAATAACAGCCAGGGGAAGGTTCCCAAACCCTGAGCACAGGTTTTCTGGCTGCCTCTGAGCTGTTCACATCGTCCCAGGGGATCCTGTAGCTAGAATGTCTTTGTACCACTTCTGGGCTAATTCCTGCAGAAACCTATTAATTTCTGCCCTGTTTTGTTCCTGTAGGGGCTGGATGTGACCTGATGGAGAGCTCTAGCTAAATGGAAACAATTTGAACAGCTTTGTTGAATTCTCAATTAGCTTGCAAATAAGGGAATACCTGCAAAACTGATCTCCTTCCTCAAAATCACTTTTGCAACGAGGTCTGGTCATCCAGCACGAGTCCACAGGCAGCTAAATACAGTGCTGGGGCCTCAGGATACCCGAGCTGGTATCATCTGCCTTTTTCTCATAGAAACCTGCTGCTGGTTAGCCCTGCACAAAATCTATGCCCAGCCTCTGCAAGCAGAGACCGCGGGGCCCGCTTTGGAGGACAGCATGGGTGAGATGATGCTGTGGCTGCTTCTTTATTTACAGCTCCTCAGGTCGCAGCAGACAGCGTGTAATTAGAGCAATTGGCTCTGAGAGAGAGAGAGATGATAACCTTGTCGATCAGCGTGTCGGAAAGGCACGAAAGTACAGGTCTGATGGGCTCTAGAGAGAGGAGATGATGCTCTTGGAGAGGGAAGCAGGATGCGTTTGCATCTTGCTGTCATTATGGGTGGAAGGAAAAGTCTTGCATTAACGGGAAGGTATTGAACAGCTGCAGCTCAGCTTCTTAAGGTGAAAGGGATAGGGAGTGAGTTGAAGGCTTTTGGGGATGGGGAATGCTGAATTTGAGCTGCTGTGAAACACAAAGAGGAAAGGACAGAGGAATGAAGGAAAAAAATGGGGTGGTGCTTGTAAATAAGGTATATGTGGCAGGGTAATAGAGGGAGTGCTCTGGCAACCCACAGAGGAGTTCAGAAACTTGCTCTGACTGTGTAGGTGATCCTCATCTCCTTCTCATCCCTCATAGAGAGAAGGAGCTGCCTTGGGTCTGGAGGCTGTTCCTGTGGGGTCCCATCCCCGTGGCTGCAGCACTGCACAGAGCTGGCTTGCAGGCTTTTAGCAGGTCTGTAGCTGGCTGCCTCTGGGGTTTTTGCAGAGGATCCGTCTGCTGGAGGTGGTGGTGAACACAAATAGCCTCGGATGCCTTGGGGTGTGAGCTTGGTGGAAGTGGTGTGTCAGTGGGCCTGGTGATCTCTGGAGCAAAAGGGCAGTGAAAATAGGGGACTGAGGGGAAGGATGCTTTTATTGATGCCTGCTGGGTGAGGAAATAGCCCAAGAGCTGAGAGCAAGGAAGATCTTGGGCTGGGAACAGTGAAGGAAAAGACTGGGTAGGATGGATTTGTAGGAAGGAAAGATCTCAGTTCAGCCAGTGGGTCACAGCTCTGCTTGCTCTGTTTTAACAAAACCCGGGCTTATGTTCTGGCTCCTCCTGTCTCTTACCTTAAACATGCAATTAAGGGGTCTGAGTCAGGATCCGAGTGCTCTGCAGAAACAAGCCAGCTGCTGCAGACCAAGAAGGGAAGCAGGATCACCAACACAAGGGTTGGAAGCAGGAGCAGGGCAGTACAGCGAGCTGCAGCCCACAGCCACTCCACTGTCCAGCCCAGGTGCCACAAAGCACTGCGTGCCTCCTGAGTCTGAGCGCAGGGCTGCATCTTAAATAATCCATGGGTAGTTCCTGGAAAAATCTTGGGGGTAACCTGGGGGCAGAGGAGGGAATTTCAGGATGCTTTTTGTCACCATTACCCAGTCTGTCCCCCAGACCCAGTTCACAAGGACATGGGGCTGCCCCCTGCAGCACCTGCAGATGAGGTTGGTGGCACAGGAGCTTGCAGGTGAGTGCAGAGCTCGGCTGCCCGGGGAGCTGAGGGCCTGGATCCCATCTATCCGTGCCCTTCATCTCTTCAGGTTGGTGAAACAACTCTTCTGGAGTTAGGGCAGGCTGCCCTAGCACCTCCTGCGGTCTGGGACATGGAAGGGGACAAGGAGCCCAGCCCACAGCCCGCTGGTTGTGGTGGGACACCCCAGGGTGGTGCCACCTGCCAGCAGCTCAGGTCGAGGGGCAGGGGCCAGGCAAGCAGCCCCCGCTGCTGGCACAGGCAGCTCCTCTGCATGCCCAGGGAGGTGGTGCTGGGGTTGCTGGGCACTTTCCCTGCAAATGAGGCTTGTGGCTCTGCCAGAAATGACATCACCTGTTAGGCAGATTTCTTCATTAGGAAGCTTTCTAATCTCAGACACGAGCCACTCCAAAAATCCTCCCCCACCCCCTGAGCACGGAGCAAACCGAGCTGCTCTGCCGGTCTCTGCAGCACGCTCTGCTTATTTATCATTCATGGCATCGTGTTTGTTTTATGACAAATGAACTTAATCACGATTTTCACAGCGGAATACCCAGGAAAATACCCAGGATAGCCGTAGCTGCAGGTACAGAAAACCAAACTTAATTTAGACAGGATATACGGGAGCAGTCAAAGGAGCTGAAGAATTGAATTCATCTAATAAAAAGACGAAGCTCTACATAATTTTTCATGCTGGCACAATAGCCTCATGAGACAGGCTGGTGCTCAGCTTCTGCATTAAACTCTTCTTGTGTGCTTAATTCTGAACCAAATCATTATCATCATTTGTTGCTGAAAGTGCATTCTGGTGTTGGGAATATTTTTTCCCCAGTGTTGTGAGGTGGAGGAGGGTAGAAACTGCAGATCATTTATTAATGCTCTGCTCCGTTGTGCTCCTGATCTCCACCAGCTGGGTCTGGATGCTCTGGCTCAAGCTCAGCGTGAGCGTGCTGACTCGCACAGAGCTCTCCATGCCCATACAGCAATGCAGGGACTGGGGCAGGGTGCTGAGCAGGATGGTCATCATCCTGAACTGAGATCCCTGAACCTCGAGAGGCTGAGAAGTGATCACTTCAGCTCAGGAGAAAAAAGGTGGGCATGCAAAAACGTGGCTGTGCTTTGCCATATGCTCAGGGTTTGGTTCTTTGATGCTCCTGCACCACATCAGACCTGATCGCTGTCCTTTCTCTTGTGATATCAGAGCAGAAACTCTTGGTTGGACCAAGAAGAAAAATGCCCCAAAAGCTGACCTACTGCTGCCAGGGTGTTTTCCTGCTGCCCCAGCCAAACAGAATAACAATCTGAGTCTGCCCTGCTCATCAGGATGTTGTCATGTGCTTTAAAACACCCTAAAGGTATTTCCAAAGAAGAACATGGAAAGTAGAAGAAAATTCTCAGTGTGGTACCAGGCATCCCAGGCTCTTCAGGAGATTTAGGGTGAGGGCTGCAGAGCTTTCCTGAGGAGAGTACAGACAGTAATTTGTGCAGACTCACTGAATGAGAGCCGCAAAGGAGCGATTGCTTCCTATAAATATGTTCAAGTGGCAAAGGGCACTGCTGGCAGAGCTATGGGATGTGGGTTGGTGATGAATAAATTCAGGCTGGAAATTTAGGAGACTCCTAAACAGCAGAGCAGTCATGCTCTGGAAATTTTTTTCTGGACAATTATTAAGCAAGAATCTGTCTTCTGGAAGAGTAGTATAGGGATTTGGGATCCTCACCTCACTTTACTGAGTATAAACTGTGTGGGCACTCAGATTGATGCACATTATGGGTATTTTTAGTGTCAGGGCTCTCAGGAAGATGCATCCTTGATGGCCCAGCTGCTGTAGGAGTCAAGAAAGTCAGATTGCAGATGGACAAGTGGCTTTTTTCCACCTCTTGTGCAAATGAAGCATCCAGGGCCACCTTACAGAAAGTACCAATGTCTTTCACATGCTCCCAGGTGAATAAGGCTGCGTTACACAGCAGTAAAATACAGCTTCTGGAGGGGGGGAGGAAGGTAAAGAGATACTCAGAGTGTTGGTGTGAGTGCTGCCAGACCTTATTTTAGTTCCTGTGCCTCAGCTTGGGGCTGTCCCCAGCCACGTCCCAGGGTGGGGATGCTTTGCAAAGCAGGCTGCGTGCGTGGAGCAGGATGGTCAAATCGCACAGGGGGCAAGGTACAGGAGCTGGGACTGGCTCTATGCACCTCCACGTGCTGCTGGTTGGAGCAGCATTGAGGCAGGGCGAGGTTTTGTCAGCCACAAACAGCCCTAAGGGGAAGAAACCAGTCCCTGCCTTCCTTGTGGCCGTGCCCAAGAAGGGATCAGTGCCGCAAGCACAACGTCTGGGTTTCCCCCCTGTAAGTGGATAAATCAACCCAGGGTGTTGCATATGGTGAGGGGCAGAGCAGCTGGAATGTACTGGGAACAGGATTTGGCTGATTCAGGAGTGGAGGTGACGCTGGGAAAGGCCCAGCCTTCCCTCAGCACATTTCTGCCTTAATCCCACTCTGTGCTGTGGCCCGAGAGCCCTGCTGCTGTGGATGACAGCCTCCTGCCTCCACGCTCCCTCCAGCAGCGGGGCTTCTCCGTCCTCATCCTCACTCCTGAGGGCCAGGGATGGCCGTGGTGTAACGGGGAGCCATACAACACCTTGCAGGTGGGTCAAGTTGTTCTGCTCTTGTGCTCCTTGCTGGTCCAGACTTGAAAAGCTCCTTCCCTTCAGGGGACGCATGAAATGCCTGCAGCCATGCAGGGTTTGAGGCCACCACCTCCTCGTTCCTTTCTGAACATCCTTTTTTAAATTTTTTTTTTATTTTTCCTTTGGGGCTGCGCACACATCTGAGAATAGCTCCGCACCACAGCCTCCTCCGCAGGAACAGAGTTATTTATTCTTGCTTGCACTGATAGTTTTTCTGTATTTAATCTAAAAAGAGACTTGCCTTGTGCCTGGGAAGTGCCTGGCCCTACCTCCAAAATGGAAGTGCGAAAGGCTCCCGGTGTGTTTTTGTTAAAAAAATAGTGTCCCAGAGACATGTGATGGGTAAACATGAATGAGGGAAACACAGCTTGGGTGTAGTACCCCTCAAACTGCCTGGAGACAGGTATGTGCCTCCAAAACTTCTCATCCCCATCTCATGCTTCAGTCCCTGCCTCTTCACCTCTCTCATCCTTTATTCCCATCACTTTTTTTTTTCTTCCTCTGCTTCACTCTCTTGTTCCTCTCACCACATCAGTGTCCTTTCCACCCTGCTCCCACACAGCCCCATCTCGTCCCTCTCTGCCAGTTCCTCTCCCCTGTTCTTAGCACTGTTCTCTGATCCCTTCTGCTTCCTTTCTTGGCTGTTTTCTTCTCACCATGAGCCAAAATCGGAGCAGCCCCTAGGCAGGTACCAGGGATGATCTCTGGTGCAGTTTAGC